AAGGAGTGTCCTGAGTAATTGTTTGCGTTGAGGCCCAGTTGTGTGAGCAAGGACCTGACGTAGGTCATGAAGGTTGTAGTGGTGAGTACTGCACCTTGTAGTTGTAATAATGGTTGCGAGGGCAGTAAGTGATGGTGCTGTATGTAGGCATCAAGAACCTTGACGGGACACCATCTGTTGTGCGTGGGGTAGTACGGAATGTTTACAGTTATGTGCTGGCTGGTTTTGGAGTGAGGTAAAGACAGGATGTAATGATCCATATGTTTTGTCAAGTGGGAATAGAGGAGGAATGGAGTGGTTTGGGTCGTGGAGGTCGTAGTGAATTCTCTGGGTCGTAGAAATCCATAGAAAGCGATGTATATTGCTGTTTTGATGATAGAATTCGTATTAGTGTCAAACGGTTTCAGGTCGAGTAGGTTAGATAAAGCTTTGAAGATATGGTTATCTATGGGTAGCCTCTGGGCCAAATGTGTGGGTTCTGATTTTGAATACCTCTGAGTATGGTCTTAATTTGGTGAGAGGCCATGAAACTGTTGTTATTTGGGTGTAAGATGAGCATGTGGTGTTGAATGCCAGTGAGATAGAGTTTGATGGTGTTATATGACAATTTGAGTTTAAGGTGGCAAAAGGAAGCAAACCCCAAAAAAGATGTCATAACAAACGGTTGTATGATGTTATGTTCCAGAAGGAATCGTTTGAATAGTGTGAAAGCCCTGTTGTATGTTTTGTTTGTATTGTGTGAAAGTGCCAACTGAGACAATGTCCTGCTATGCTGCATGATGACGTCTAGTCCAGTATGAGTTGTTGAAATGTTGGAGTGATGGTGGCTGTGGGTGCTGCTGACGGGAGTGCTTGATGAAACTCCTGAAATTTAAAGCGAGACAAACTGTCAGCAGCTGTGTTGTATACACCTGGCACATGGAAACAACATAGGAAGAAATTATGACAAGCTGCCAACCAAGTGAGTTTCCTCAGAAATCTCATAATCGTAAGAGATTTGGAACGACCTTTGTTGATGATGTGACAGGTCGCCTGGTTGTCTGAGTAACAACGCACTGGCGTATTAGCCCATAAATGACCCCACGCTACGGCAGCCGCCACTATGGGGTAGATCTCAAAAAGAGCTGAGGTAGTGGAAAAACCTTCCAAATCCAGAACTGCTGAAGGCCAGCTGCCCCAAAGCCATTCGTTCCCAAAAATTGCTGCAAAACCAGTGGTAGATGCCGCATCTGACCAAATGGTAGGAGATGATTCAGTCAATTGAGGGAGGAACATACTTTTACCATTCCAAGTGGTTAAAAACCTCTTCCACATGTTTAGATCTGCCGTAGCTTGGGCATCTAAGGACAACCTGTGCGTGTCATGTAGAAAAAGTGGGAAAAGATGCAATAGTCGTGAAATAAAGGAGCGGCCTTGAGGTATGATGCGCATTGCAAAATTTAGTGACCCCAGCAGGGACTGTAGTTCTTTGCGGTTGCAAGTGCCGAGCTGTAGGTAGTTGTTTATGTAAGTGAGAATATTGTCTATCTTTTCGTAAGGTAGGCTTGCTTGCATTGTGGCAGAGTCTAACTGGATACCCAGAAAAGTGATAACCGTGTCTGGCCCTTCTGTTTTCTTTGGGGAGATGGGTACACCTAGTTGCTCAAACAGCTTAGTGGTAGCTTTGAGGCTAGTGGGAGGTGCAGTATTCTCCTCGACCAGTAGGAAATCGTCCAAGTAATGTAATACTGTAGGGCATCCGGCTATGTTCAATAGTAACCAGCATAGTGCTTCGGCAAATGTGTCGAAAATAGCTGGGCTACTTTTGGACCCAAAAGTTAACCGGGAGAAAAAATAGTAGTTCTCGGACCACTTGATGCCATGCAGGTGCCACAGTGTGGGGTGGATAGGGAGTAATTTGAAGGCGTTAGTAATGTCGGTCTTACTGAGCCAGGCTCCCACCCCTGCTTGTATGATGGCTGTAATGGCGTGATCTATGGTGGTGTATTGCAGAGAGAATTCCTCAGAGGGTATGAGGGAATTAAGACTGGGGTTGGCCGATGAGTGGGGAGCCGATAAGTCAATGATGAGTCTCTGTTTTTGGGAAGATTTCCCTGTGACAATACCAATAGGGTTGGTGCGCCATTCTGTGAATGGGGAGTTCTAAAAGGCCCCAATACAAAGCCCTCCTCCACTTCTTGGTTTATGAGGGTGTCAACCACTGTGGGGTTGTGTTGGGCGGATTGTAGGTTTGGGCATTCCAGAGTGCCAGCTGGTATGTGTAGGATACCTGTGTGGAAGCCTTCTGTTAAACCAGAAATAAGAAAATCTACCAGGTGTCTAGATGGGTGCTGAGACATCAATGCTGTGAATACTGGCATATTAATGGACGTAAGGTAAGGCTTAGAATACATTTTATTTGGACACATGGTCTTGGCATGTGCCCTAAAACATTTTGAACAGACATGCAATAGTCTACATCCACTGTAATTACAAGACCCAACATTGAAATTATTACATATCTGGGACTTGCCCAGAAACTTGATTGGGCGTCCCAATTTGTCTTTGGATAGTTTCCCTGGATCCCCAGAGGAACTAGTTCCTTGTGTGGAGGCATGTCCGTCTGCCGTGTTGGGACAAAAATTAGTAGTATGGGCTGTGGAGGAGCAGTATGCACAAGCTGGTGTTCTTAGACCTGCAAAGTGTCTGCAGAATAAGACGGTATCAATCCTTCCCCAGTTGGATCGTGTACCGTACTGGGAGAAGGCTCCAGCCACTTTTGCAGAAAAAGACCTATGGTAGTCATAGAATGCTGAACCACCATATTTGTTGCCCAGGTCTACCAGCTTGTGCATATAGAGATCAAACTCCTCTCTTCTGTTGGGATAAACCGCACAGACGACATCCCTGTAAATACCAAACGCTAGTACAAATTCAGGGATAGTCAGTTTCCTGTTCAGGCGGGCATCCCTAGATCTGACAATAACAGAAACATCATCATAAGCATACGTCTTATGTTCCACAATGTCCTGGGAGGCAATCAACAGGGAAGCCAGGTTGACGTCTTTACCTTCCAGGATATCCCTTTTGATATGCTCAGGTATCATGTGGGCCGGGCTAACTTCCTGGTCATCCAGGGGGCTGGCTGGAGCGACTAATGGCAAGGCTGGTGTTTGTACCGCAGCCGCGGGTGGCCCTGCTAGAGTGAGGGCCGTGGTGACCGACTCAAGTTTCTCCAGCCTGGAGTTGACCTTGCCCATGGATGCCATGAGTGAGGATAACATGGCATGTATGTCCCCTGGGTTGGACTGGCTAGATCCTTCCCCGGCTTCCATGTTATTGGTTGATGTGCGTAGCAGTTTGAAAAGTTCTGCCTTCCTTGCTGTAGCGGGGTAGGGGATTTGTCGTCTCCTTAATTCCGTGGTTATGCGCGGGATTGTCCAGGATCTAATTGATGCTGGACTAGCTAGCTCTCCTCCTTGTGTGGGAGTGACAGCTCTAGCCGGGGTGCTAGGCAGGGAGAAATCCTCTACCCCTTCCTGAGACATACTATAAATAAAACAATAATTAGTATATAGAACCACCAAATTGTACTGGCAGGCTAGCTAGGCCGGATGGCGAAAGTATTATGCTTGTTTGGTGACAGGTGAGGCCCTACTAATTGCCAAGCGGCTTGAGAGGCTCTATCTATGCGTTGGCGCGAGGGGTTATTGAGGCCACTTGACGTAGTGGCAGGAGTTTTAGGCCTCTCGGTGACTGTACGACAGAAAACAGGGGAAGGGAGTGACAGGTGAGGCCCTCTCTTTGCAACATGCGAGGCGGCTAGCTAACGTGTGGCCCGATGGGTGTTTGCCTCCGAAACGTTTGAGGCGGGGTGTTGGCCTCGCGGGACCACTAACTAATGGCGACAGCCAAGATGGGGTAAATACCTATTGGGAATCCTGTGACCCTATTGCCAGTACTCTAAACTAGGGGATGAAATGAAATGTATGGTAGAATACCATATGAGCAGGTGTACGTACCTGGTAGTATGATAAATCACAGGAATAAACCGTGTGGAGCAATTATATAAGCTCGACAGCCTAAAAATGGGTAAAAGAGAGTAGTACGATGAGTGTGGGGTGTAAAAAGAACCAGACTTATAGTCTGTAGCAGCAATGTATAAAATTATGTTGATACCATGGGAATAGCTATGAGTGGCTCAGAAATGTTTGCATGCTTGAATAAGACATCTGAGGGAGGCCGTGGCCTATGTACAAACAATCTATGTGTTACGTGATAATGGTGTGTAAAGGAAAACATGAAACATAAGTTATATACATATGTATATGACTGTGTAGGGGACGTATGATTGGTTGGATCAGTACGTGTGATTCAACCCGAGTATGCATGCAAAAGGATTTAAGCCTTATGTGTCATCGTCATGACAGAGAAATGAGGCCTGTAATGTAGGCTGAGTAAATTGAAATGAAATGGATAGTTATAAAACTCCTGGCGTGGGAGTTCAATGATCTGTACCGAAATGTAACTGGTTTTATAGAAAGGGACATGGATGAGGTCATGGCCTAATTAACACAGCGTTATGTATGATATGTAGCAGAAAGACCAAAGGCAGGGATACCCCAAAATGATTTAACATGATGTAAAGTGATGTATATCTATATGATATGTATGTATAGCAAAGACGTATCAACCCGAGAATTATTGCTTAAATGAACCTATCCTTGTATATGTTGTATTAATAACCCAGAAATGAGGCTTGTAACATAGGCTGAGTCCATTCGTATAAATGGATAAGTAATGCAGACCCCTGAAAGCGTGGGAGTCAAATGGTATACACAGAGAAGTGGACTTGATTTGTGGACGTAATACAATACTGACAATTTGTTAAAAGTAATCAACAATAATCTATTTAAGCAAGCAATACTTTAACCGAATGTTATATACACATGAAATGGTGAATATAATTCATGAAAGGATTATACGTGAACACACAGAACAGCCGAAAGCAAATGTGAGGGGAACACAGAAGTTAGAATAGTTTAACCGTATGATTTATGCGAACCAAAGCGTGTATGAGCGTATGTAAAATTTGCCGAACGGCAAAACAACCGAATGAACATTCGTTTAAATAACATGAATAGGATATGCGAAATGACTATTGAACGATTTAAAACATGTTCAGCCGAATGACCGTACGAATGAAAAGCCCGCGAATGGCTTGAAACATTTGTGTCATAACCAGGGAAAAGCCGTAAAGCGAGGACCCGTGCTGTACCGTACGCCGTGGGAACCAGTCCTGGCGTGACAGGAAGGTCTGACTTACGGTTTAGGAGTCCCTGGGACGCGATCTACGACGGAGAACGGAGTCAGAAGAAGCTGGACGGGCGGAAAGGCCTGAACAGGATTCCTGGACACAGCTTACTGAAACCAAGATGGCGTCTGAGAGAACCCGGAAGTGGATCCTCATTCAACGCTGACCTCGAACGGTAAGGAGCCAGGCAAGGGGAGTGCCTTAAGTAGGCTAGGGGTAGAAAACCAGCACCTCCCACAAATGCAGGCAAATTGCCTTAATACTTGTGTTAGGTGCTTAAGATAGTACAGTGTGAAATACCATGAATAAGCGTAGGATGATAAAAGGAGCAAGTCGGTTGTGGTGTGCCGAAACCGACGATGAGGTAGGCCTGAGAAAGAAGAGGGCAAAAATTAAGTAATCCAATTTATTAACAGACCACCAATACATATACATTTATCAACCAGACATGTTTATGAAAGCATCTCTTAACTCTTGTACTGGGTTCGGTATGTACCGTGAGTAAGCGGATGACTTCCAGCGCCCCAGTGTTTTGATAACATGAGTTGGGATGTTGAAACTGGAGGCTGTGGACGCGGCTCCTATACGAAAGGAGTGTCCTGAGTAATTGTTTGCGTTGAGGCCCAGTTGTGTGAGCAAGGACCTGACGTAGGTCATGAAGGTTGTAGTGGTGAGTACTGCACCTTGTAGTTGTAATAACGGTTGCGAGGGCAGTAAGTGATGGTGCTGTATGTAGGCATCAAGAACCTTGACGGGACACCATCTGTTGTGCGTGGGATAGTACGGAATGTTTACAGGTATGTGCTGGCTGGTTTTGGAGTGAGGTAAAGACAGGATGTAATGATCCATATGTTTTGTCAAGTGGGAATAGAGGAGGAATGGAGTGGTTTGGGTCGTGGAGGTCGTAGTGAATTCTCTGGGTCGTAGAAATCCATAGATGAATTCATATTAGTGTCAAACGGTTTCAGGTCGAGTAGGTTAGATAAAGCTTTGAAGATATGGTTATCTATGGGTAGCCTCTGGGCCAAATGTGTGGGTTCTGATTTTGAATACCTCTGAGTATGGTCTTAATTTGGTGAGAGGCCATGAAACTGTTGTTATTTGGGTGTAAGATGAGCATGTGGTGTTGAATGCCAGTGAGAGAGTTTGATGGTGTTATATGACAATTTGAGTTTAAGGTGAATGCCAGTGAGATAGAGTTTGATGGTGTTATATGACAATTTGAGTTTAAGGTGGCAAAAGGAAGCAAACCCCAAAAAGATGTCATAACAAACGGTTGTATGATGTTATGTTCCAGAAGGAATCGTTTGAATAGTGTGAAAGCCCTGTTGTATGTTTTGTTTGTATTGTGTGAAAGTGCCAACTGAGACAATGTCCTGCTATGCTGCATGATGACGTCTAGTCCAGTATGAGTTGTTGAAATGTTGGAGTGATGGTGGCTGTGGGTGCTGCTGATGGGAGTGCTTGATGAAACTCCTGAAATTTAAAGCGAGACAAACTGTCAGCAGCTGTGTTGTATACACCTGGCACATGGAAACAACATAGGAAGAAATTATGACAAGCTGCCAACCAAGTGAGTTTCCTCAGAAATCGCATGATCGTAAGAGATTTGGAACGACCTCTGTTGATGATGTGACAGGTTGCCTGGTTGTCTGAGTAACAACGCACTGGCGTATTAGCCCATAAATGACCCCACGCTACGGCAGCCGCCACTATGGGGTAGATCTCAAAAAGAGCTGAGGTAGTGGAAAACCTTCCAAATCCAGAACTGCTGAAGGCCAGCTGCCC